CGCGAGCCAGCCCCGACAGTAAACCCGGCCCCCGTTGCACATCTCTCTCTCTGGATGCGCACAAGTCATAATGAAGCTGTCAGTGACTTCACACGCACGCGGGAGCACTGAGATGCGTCGACGCGACAACCACGCTGGCGCCGAGCCCGAAAATACGTTTGCCGCTTGGCTATGGTGGGATGGCGGCGCTCGGCGAAATGCCGATTTGCTTTCTCGTTCATTTTGCTCCCTTTTGCGGTTGGAGGCGCCATCTCAACGTCGGGCTTAACCTTATCAACGTATCGCCGCGGAAAACAAACGCAGTCGGAAACGTAGCTGTCTTGGTGTCTGTCAGTGTGCTTCTGCGTCAGACAGTTGGGGGGGGGTCTAACATTTCGATATTAAGCATTCGGCGTACATATCTCTTTCAGCTCTGTAATTTATAACTCAATTTCCAGCGTGCACTGGAGCGCATCATACCTCCAAAACACCCAACAAAGGCCCAGCCCAAATTGTATTTCAAAGCAATTAGGGTGGCCACTGAGTTGTGAAGGCAGCGCCGATGCGGAGGCTTCCGCGCCTGTGCCGTGCTTTTTAATTGTTCATTTTCTGTCACGTTAGTCACCTTCGGCGCCTCCCCGGCAGGTGAGCTCCAACCGTCTTGCCGTGAAACCACCGGCGATCTTGCGCCCGCCCGTCTCTTGCTGTGGACGGGATTTTACGAGACGAGTGTTGGGTTTAGAAAGTTTGAGGAATTCAATTCATGTCGTGGATTTAAATTGAATGCTCCAAATAGCAACATATCCACGGTTGCCTTGACAAAGTAACTTAAAGACTTGGTTTTAAATGTAGCGTAGTTGCTAAGGCCTGATATGTTTTGGGGGGGGGGGGGTTCTGCTTGTGTTAGACAGAATAAAATTCTGATTCAAGATCAATCAGATGATTCATTAAAATTATGGGGTTTTTGGGGGGGGGCAGAGGGGGTGTTCCTGAGTGCTGAGAACAAATGAATGACAGGAAAACTTTTTGACTTTGTTTGCATGAAACAAACAAAGCGTGACTGTGTGTGTGTGTGTGTGTGTGTGTGTGTGTGTGTGTGTGTGTGTGTGTGTGTGTGTGTGTGTTGTTGTTTGAGTGCCACTGTAGTGAGCACTGTCCCTGTAAGGGTTCAAAATAAAACGGAACTTCAAATTTGCCCATAAAAGCAGCTTGACCTCGAAACGCAGTCATTTTAGTTCCTTTCATTTTTTTCTATCGGAAAATTGATTCCGAATCCGAACAAACCAAAGGGCGATTAGTGGCCCGGAACAGATTGCGTTAGATTGTATTAGTTATGAGGCTTGGTTATGAGCTCTTTGACACGCTGGCCTGATGCCACCACTGGCAATGGCTTCCACTCTCTGACCCTTTCAAAAGTCAACAATGGCAAAATCCATCGAGGCAATTCAGCGCCGCAAGTCCCGCTTCCGCTCTCTCCATCGCTCTCAACTTGCCCCCCCCCCCCGCCCCCCATCAAGTCTCAGCTTCCGTCCCTGACCGGCTTTGTTAATTAGCTGCCCATTCGTCGCGGTTCTGCTTTCTGCCGGCTCACCACGCCTGAGCCACTTGGCTCTTCACCTTGCATCCCGCTCCGCTTCCTCCCGTCGCTCCCT